GTTCCTAAGACGCGGTTGCAGTTCGGACCCTGTTGGACAACTCATTCTTGGAGTGGCCCAAGTGCAAGCATCTACCTTCGTGAGACCTCTGCTGTGCAAAGCCAGTACAGCAGCCTTCGCAGGCTCAGCATCCCACACGGAGCCGGCAACAGAAGCTGCGGAGTCAGCGGAGGACGCCGTACGCTTCTTTGGCGGCGTCACCAAGTGGATCGTGCCCTGAAGCTCATCATAGACAGACGGCTTGACCCTGGCGCGAGCAAACGCAAGCAAAACCCTGTTCAAGGAAAGCTGCTGCGTCAGAAGCGTTCGTCACGGCGGAATTACCCCCCCCTCCCCCCTCCCCGCCACCCCAGCGCATCGTCTACAACAGGAAGCAGCAAAACTATGCAGAAACGCANNGGGGCCCGTAGAGGCGCCGTCACCCTGTTTTTTCCCTTATTCCCTACGACTGTAGCTGCCTCAGACCTATAATAAGAGCACTATCTTTAATAATTCCTTATAGGGCTATACTATAATGAAAATTAAAAACAATTCCAAAGGAGACTACAGACGAATGCCCAGCAAGTAAACCATACACCCTATGTGTCCCTAAAACCCTACAGAAGAAAACCACAATATAGCCCCAATATAACCACAATATATCCCCTATATAACCACAATATATCCCCGATATACCCCCTATATATCCCCAATATAACCACAATATGTCCCCATAGCTAGGGGGGCCTGGGATGGGTTTCATGCCGAGCTTTGAGACCTTTGCCACAAGGTTTAAGGCAGGGTTTAGGGTTTTTGTTTTGGATTTTGGGTCGGGCCATATTTCGTCTGCATGAGACATAACAGGGTTTAGGTTTGGGGTGTAGGGTTTAGAGTAAGGGTTGAAGGCTCAAGGCTTAGGATCTAGGGTGTAGGCTGGGGATTAGGATTTAGATCTTATTGGGCCTGGGGTTCTCAATTTAAAGCTCAGGGTCTCAAATCATGCAGTGGAGATTTGCAAATCCAAAAACAACTGGTCCCTTTCAGGACTTTATATGGGGAGAGAAAGAGCGAACGAGATGTGTACATACAGCCCTAAACCCGAAACTCTAAACTGCATACATATATATACATATCTATATATATATATGTTATGCATTTGCAGGGACAATGTCAGGCTTGGACTTCTAAAGTCTACGAGTCTACGGGCCGCTTTTGTAGGAGTCCGTCAGTGGGCTCAGACGATCTGAGGATATACTGGGGACCCAATTCTGGAAATAACCTCCGCATGGACCCAAAACCCTAAACCCTATAACCGCGCCCCGAGAAACCCGACCGCCACCCAAAAAAACCGGGAACCTTTGAGCTTGCGTTCCGCACGCGGTTTAGGGTTTAGGGTTTACGGGTCAAGCCTTAGGGTTCACTGAAAGATGTGTGTTCCTAGGCCCAGCGAGCAAGCCAGAACTATCCCTATAAACCCCGAGGTAAACCCACTGTCCCTTGAATGTTTATTTTTGTCTTCAATTTGACCCTCATCATCGGGTAATATCCCTAAACCCTAAGTATTACTTTGTGCTTCATTTTCCATGTCATTCTCCATTATTGAATTACGAAAGCTCTAGGCCCTAAACCCTACTTCCCAAACCCTAAACCCTAACTCCTAGACCCTAAACCCCAAACCCCACACAATGCATCCGCGCTGGCACCAAGGATCTGGCAGCCTTGCGGCTCTTCTTCTCCGACCTTTGCGCAGGGTTTAGCGTTCAGGATCCAGGTGTTAGGGTTTAAGGTTTAGGGTTGAGGATTTACGGTTTAGGATTTGGGGATGAGGGTTCAGGGTTTAGGATTTAGGGTTGAGGATTTAAGGTTTGGGATTTAGGGTTCGGGGTTTAGGGTTGATACGGTTTAGGGTTCTGCGTATGGGGGGCTCCCCTAATCATATTTTTTCCCCAAGTCAGGGCTTACTATTGGGGGGAAAGGATTGGCGCTGTAGAGTTATAGGGTGGGTAGGAACGATCCCAGTGATGGGGCGGATTTAGGTGCATGATAACAAGGCTTCAAGATTTCAAATCGGCAGTGTGGGGCTTGGGTCTAGCGCCCGATTTTCCAGTGACATGGTACCGCAGGCTGCCGGGTAAAGGAAAGCGCGGAAGAGAGACTTGCTTTAAGCACCTAAATGTGTGTACAATGTCAGAGAACAAGCGTGGAGGCTGCACGATTGGGATCTGGAAGTCTGTAAGAAGACCACAAGACTTTCAAACCCTGTAAGTCAAGACTAGGTGTGCTATGCTGAAGCCTCTAAGTACAAGCCTCTTTATCAGAAGACTCCCTGTGCCTATGCGGGATGCTCCCGACCTTCAGCACTGAGCACATGGATTTTTCCAGCAGTCCACTTGCCACAACAGCTTGATTGTGCAGAATGCGCAATCTAGGGTTTAGGGCTTAGGGTATACATGGCACACATCCACAAAACCCAACACTCTTCCAAGGACTTAGCTTCAGCAAGCGCCCGTCTGCACTTCAATGTTGGAGGGCTTTAGGCACAGGGCCTGAGAGACTTTGTAATCGCCTGGAACGGACACCCCATACATGCACTCATGAATACTCCGAACACACCTTAGGTGCACCAACCACAACCATTATATTCCTGACCGTAAGCCTTCTGGCTCATATGAAACAAGTGAGTTCTCTGAGTATGTTGCGGAGCTTTCATGTTAAAGGCTGCTGTAATACCTTTTCATGCCCTCAAACAAGCATGGAACCCCCGTGCAGGCCAACCTTAACAGGACAGTGCTGTCTACGTTTGTGTCGGGCAGTGTAGGTTGCTCAGTCAAGTTTGTGGTCCAAATGGGTATTTTCAAGCTGAGGAGAACTGAGATAGGAACCCCGGTAAGACTTTCTTAACCAAACCCCCAAGTGCTACATCCAGAAACTACTGCGAGGAAAGTCCTTAAAGCAATCCCAAGGCAACAAGTTCAACAAGCCCTCATTCTTCTATTACATGGATGTGGTAGTTCCCTGAGTGGGCGCTCCACGATCCAAAAATACTGGAATCCTTATTTTGGGGACACCCAAA